CTTGATTCCGAACTGCCTTGTGGCTGGGGTTTGGTTTAGAAAGGCGATGGAAAGGGAAGGCAGGGAGAAGGTTACACTGAGGTCAGAAATGCTTTCTATACAACTGTATGAAAGATCCCTCTTAAAAAGAGCAGTAAAATAACCACTCTTGGTATTTAAAACTTAATCTAGCATTTGCTTGTGCAACTGGCCTTCACTGCCAAATGCTGAAAACTGGAGAGTGCTGGCTTTGCTCACAGGAGTATGACTGCTTCTAGCATGTGAAGTTGATGTCCATGATCATGCTTGAATCATTGTAGGGATGTAAGGAAGGCAGGTGGGTGGTTCTTTAACTGCAGCACAGTTATTTGGAGAGAAAATGGTGTTGCAGGTACAGATCATTTTGCAGTTTATCCTCATTCTGGGGACTTAGGCATCTCTGAGCACAATGCCCCTTCCACGTTTTCCAGAGACAGTGCAACAGTATAAATCAGTCATCTATATCAGCAATAGGCTTGCTCCTAAACAAGATTACCAAGCTAATGTAAGCTACTCACCTGTGGTTGTAATACACACAATTATAGTTAAAACTAAATTTTGCTTTCTGTGGATGCTGCTGAAGGAAGGGTCCTTAGTGGTAGTAAAACAACGGTAAAAAATCAAATATTCTGAGTACTAATAGAATAGAGCATGGTGAAAATGTAACTCCTTTAACATCCCTGTCGTTAAACATGGTTTTGCACTTTCAATCTGTACTCATTTTAGACATTGAAGCATCTGATCCATATCATGACATCAATGCGAGTTTAGCCACCTATGCATCTTCAGAGCTTTTTACGATCAGCATCTTGTAGGAAGCTGTAAGAATCTTACACTGTTTGCTGTACATTGTTAGTCATTCCTAAACAAGTTTCTTTGCCACAGTTTAGATTTTGCACTTCTAAGTAGCACTGAATAAATTTTTTTAGGTTTGTTAGGAGTAGCATAACCTCATTCATAAAAAGGTGCTCCTTGGTTTCTTCACTGGCCTTGAGTTTGATGTTATTATAATAATCAGGAACAGATTAGGACCCTGTTCTTAAACTGTCTCAGCTCTTGAAACAGACTACAAACAATTTTTCTACTGGTCTTTATATAAGGGATATAATTCATCTGGAGATCATTGGCCAAGTGACAGGTCACTTGAATTGGTAGTCATAGCTGTGTTGAACTAGAGAATTAAAACCAAATTAAACTGTCCTAAGGATTTTAATAGACTTGTACATTATAAATACAACAGTGAATTTTAAATGATTAGAAAAATCAAAGAAACCTTAAGAACACTCAGGACAGTTTGGACCAGATGAGTATAATCTGTAGACTAAGGCAATGTTAGTATATTTTGGAGGATGGATAATACTGTGTATCATGTGTGTAACCGCCAGTCTGAACTTCACACAGAATATGAAACATTGTTCCTGATAACAGTTTGAAGGAAATTGTCTAGGCTAATATTGCTATATATGATGGCTTGTCTTAGGTTTTATACTTCTTAACTGTAGTTTTCTTTGTGAACACTAGATGAAGCTCTGATGCTTCCACACAATAGGAAGAAGAGAGCTCAATGATCTGTTCCGGGTTGTGGATCCCGAAGTCCTGACTTCAGCTAAGCCAAAACAAGTAGAGGGATTTTCTTTTGTGGCCTCTTGTTCAGTTCCAGAGGCAAATCCCTCTAAGCTGACAGTGTTCCCTGTCAGGGTAGCTGAACAACCACATAAAGTAAAACAGGCCTTATGCTTCCTTTAACGTTCACACTGTTCTTTAAAAGGTATTTCCTTGATCTGTTTTTGCTTGTCTTTTTTACAAGTGGTGTAAATATTTTTCATAGTCTACCTTCAAAATGGTGTTTAAACTTCTGTTCTAAAAAAGCATCCATGTTGTTTGCTGACCCTTGTGTCTCCAAACTTTGTCTCATTTCAGTGTCTGAAAACAGCTGAGATGCTGAATGTTCTTTTCTGCCATTTTCTCTTCTCCTGTATGGCTAAGATCAAAGTGAAAAGAAGGCACAAAAAGAACAGAGTGACTAATGGGGAGCCAGAGGCAGAACCCACATTGTAGTCCCACAGGTGGCAAGGAAAAGGAATCAAAGTGATGGGGATGTAGGAAATGACTGTTGGGTTTGGTTTTGTTTTTTGTTTGGGGTTTTTTTCATTAATAAAAGCTTTACCACCTGTGCTGTGATGCTCTGAGGAGCTCTAATAGAATAAAGCTGGTTGGCCTTGCATTTGGGAAAAAATTCACAGCCTGCAGAGGACATATTTCCATTAAGAGAAGTTGTCCTCAGTCAACTGCACGCGTTGTGAGAACATACATGAATGAGTAACATATAATTTAAAATTCCTCTTGACTACAGTTTATGGCTAACATGTAGGTGTTTCTGCACAGTTCATTGGATTCACTCTAAATATGCAAGTTCTTTTCTGGCTGCAGATCCAAGATGAAGGGTAACAAACTCCTTGTCTGTCCTGAAGCTGTGTTACGGGACAGCAGAATAGCACTAAAATGGTAAAACATTGCCTCAAAGAGCTTTGAACTCAAAATGCTCAAGGCTGCCTCTGTGCAGCATGTGAATGTCTCTTTGAGAGTTGATAGAAGTCTGAGGAAGCCTAAAATGACTGAATCTCTTATGTAGGACCAACCTCTTGCTGTTTCCGTAACAAAGTATTTAGTTACTGGTTTCCTGAACCCACTGCCATGACACTAGTGCCTGTCACTAGAATTAATCACAGTGGCCTTAATTTTTTCATGAATCTTAACAACTTGTTCAGGTGTTTGGATCATAGATTCTGCGAAGTGCTTAATAGAGGTATTTTTTCTGCCTGAATTTGATTGAATACCACTAGTAAATTTAACCACCAGGTGACAGTATTGTTCCACTCCAATACAGAGCATGGTATATTATATCAGGCAGAAAAGGAGTATAAACTCTCAGAGGGGCAAGTTTAACAGAATTAAAAACTCAGGTTTCACACTTATGCTCTGTCTGGCATTTGTTGATTTTTTTTTTTTTTCCTCTAGTCCCATCTTGAGGCTCAAGTGACTTGTTGCAACAAAGCTTAGATATGTCAGTTTTAAAAATGTATTGCCTCATTTTAACCCCTCAAAGCAAACTGCCAACAGTTTTCCTCTTCTCTTAGAATTTCAGCAGCTTGCCTTCCCGTTTGCTATTAGGCATGATCTCTGTGGCTTGAAAAGGGTTTTCTAGTGACATGCAACTTTACACATGAATGTTCGTTAAATAATATTCTTCTTCCTGGGGGGAGAGAGGAAGGTGGGCGAGTAATTGATATGAGATCTGTGTCATTCCCTCAAGCAAAGCAATACAAACTATTCTATGCCACACTGCAAGAAAAAGATCATAAAATGTACAAATTGCACCACCTCCTTTCCCTATGTAGAATTTTGTCTATGGCAGATTCTCTAAAAAATCATAGAAACATCAAATATCTGAAGTTGAAAGGAACTCATAAGGATCATCAAGTCCAATTCCCTGCTCCTCACAGGATTACCTAAAACTAAACCAGTATGACTAAGAGCTTCTTGAACTCTGATAGTCTTGGTTCCATTACCCTTCTCTGGTAAGCCCATTCCAGGGACCGACCATCCTCTTGGTGAAAAACCTTTTCCTAATGTCCGGTTAGAACTTCTCCTGATGCAGCTTCATTCCATTTGTTCATGTCCCATCCATGGTCACTAGACAGAGATCATACACCTCCCTCTCTGCTAGCCCCTTGAGCCAAGTTATAGACTCCGTCAGAGTCACCCCTCAGCCTTCTCTAAACTGAACAAACCCAGTTAACTCACCTGCCTCTTGCCTTTGAGAACCTTCACCATCTTGGCCACCCTTCTGTGGACATGCTCTAATAGTTTGATATCTTTCTCATACTGAAGTGCCCAAAGCAGAACATGGTTGAGGTGGGGTTGCACCAGTGCAGTGTGGAGTGGGCCCTCAACCAGCTAGTTATGTTGTGCTTGATGCACCCGGATCATAGCAGTTAAAGTAATTACTGACCTTGTTAAGCAGCTGGATGGGCAGTAAAACTTCCTTAAATTGGAATCAATAGACCTTTACCTAAATATATTACAATGAACACATTTTTTGTGTAATGAGCATTTCTATGACTGATACTTACATTCATAGCTCCGATGCAATGGAAATATATATACCTTGCACATATTTTGTGGTGGTAATTGTTGAATTCTGAACATGCAGTAGTATATATTGTTTTGAAGCAGTGTACTGCAGACATCTTCATTTGGGAATACAATTACTGGATTATATATATATCTCAATCCCTGTGCATGCATAAAATGAGAATAATAGTGCTCTCTTTCACTGCAGAAGTTTAGAAGATTAATGCTGGAGAAGTACTCAGCTGTTACAACAAGGCACTGTATAAAATTTATAAGAGGAGTTCTGTTAGATTCAAATATTCTCTTCCAGTTCCAGTGTTCAGTAAATAATGTCTGGAGATGTCCACTAGATAAGAAAGAGGATAGAAAGAAATAGCTTCTCAACCAAGAAATACTGGCTAGCCTTGTACCCTGAATGAGTCAAGGATCCTTAATGGTAAATTGTATGTTATCATACAAGTAATGATTGTCTCTTCCTGCATGTGCACATCCAAGGGCAAATTACGCTGTGTAAGCCTTTGTTCTCAGAAATAACTGAACCAGTCTAGTTGAAAAGTTCATCCTGAGGCAGGGAAATTTCAGCCAAGGTGATAAATATTTGGCATAGCTATAAATAACTGAAAACCCCCAGTAATTAATGATGGAAATTTGGGAGCAATCATAATAGATGTTGCTACTTCTAACTACCTGAAAATATCAGGCTTTATTGCAATGTTAATTTGAGGAATTTTATTTAAACAATTCTCAGAAGTAAAGAATTTCATCATTAAATGGGAAATGTATATTTTTTGTTTTATACTTTTTATCTTTTTAACTGATTTTGATATATAGTTCTGAAATTTCTTATAGGAGAAAGAGAAGTATTTAGGAATTGGCCTGGAATACAGGAGACCTTTGTTCAGGTAAGCTACAGTTTTCCTTTGTTACTTTGATGAATTCATACTTTGATGAATGTTCAGTGCATTCTTATGTTATGCTGTGGTGTTGGCAATGAGGAAGTATGAAGCTGCTATGCATCATAGGTTTTGGGGAGAGGTTGGTTTAATTATTTACCAAGTTCTGTCAATTTGCTGTATGTAGCCAGACACAACTACATCATTTAACTCACACTGGGTTCATTGTAATCATATATTGTAGAATAAACAGTAAGGGTTAGCCTTAAGTACATGCCACCAGAGGAAAACTTTAATTAGGAAAGATTGAGGTTGACCGGTAATTACAGAGGTAACAGTTCACGCCTCTATAGTTAAAGGTTGAGTCAGTGTTTCCAATATAAACCATTATTTTCTGGGGTTCCTACTCGCTTATTCAGAAACTGTGGTCACATCCTAAGGACATTTTTTTTTTTAATAGGCTGTAAGTAAATTCCAGTTGCAGCAACAAAAAGAAATGTACATTCAACAAAACAATAATCTTTCAGAAACTGAAAAGATTCCTTAACTGATTGGTGTGAAATGTTTGGGCTCAAATGCAAAAACAGTGTTGCCTGAGAAAATCTGTGCAAAGATATCGAAGTATTCAAAATAAATGTGTTCTTATGGTATCCTAGAATGTGAGTTATGCTGATTAGTCCCAGCTCACCTGACTGTATTGCCTTACCTTTGATGTACTAATAGCATTCCAGTAACTCCTACTCTTAACTAGATTACAGTAATTAATATACTATGGGTGATGTAGTTTGAAAATATGTCCCTAACACAGCAGAATGTTTCAGGATGAAGTGGTTGCCTTGATTTTTGGCTAAATTATTCCATTCTAAAGTTGCTCCCATAAATTATATTTTCATTTATTATGGCTTTATGTATTAATTTTAAAGCAGTAGTAAGGAAGGCTGGAGTATTTGCAATCTTACTCAGGCTCAAAAAATGGTCTGAAAGTTGGTATTTATTTGATTTGTGTGCATAGTGTACTCTTCATAAGTGTATGGTTCTATGATCATTGAATCTGTGTTCTGCTTGGTGGAGTGCTGAAGTAGGAATCACGTATATTAAGTGTGTTTTCGTACCAACAGTTTCTTATCCTGATAGGTTTATTTTTGTTAATAAAAAAATGAAGCAGTCTCTTCTATGTGTATAAGACAAAACAAGTGGAAGAAACTGGCTCTGGGGAGCGTGGGGTGGTAGCAATGATATGAACAAACTAAACTCAAAAACTTTAATTTATACACAGTGGGATTTTTTTTATTTTAAAAGCTTCACAGGATTTAGAGGAAAGGATTATCACAGAAGTGAATTAGGAAAAGAATTACCTGGTTTGTATATTGTTCACTACTTTATAACATTTGTTGTGGTAATTAAATTTTTTATACTTCTCAGAACTGTTTTAGGCCTGTTATGGAACGGGGGGGAAATAAATTACCCATACCTTAAAGAGCTTCTAATTTTATATACGACACAATGAAAGGATAATAAACTGTGCAGAGATGGGGAAGTTGAAGAGAGCAAGGCTTGCAGCAATATGTTCAGGCAATGATTTGGTTTTGGCATTTAGAGACACGGTGACTCAGTTTCAGGTTGGTGAAGTGTTTATTGTTGAGGTATCTTGCATATTAGTTTAAGAAGGGAGTGCTAGGAGATACTTGAATGAAAAAAATAGATTTTGCAAGCCAGAAGTTGAAGTGAGCTGATGCTCCTAGATGCCGATACAGACATGGAGACGCTGTGGGAGAAATGGGAAATTAAAACACTGGTATAACTGCCACAATGAATTGCTGACAAGACCCTGAAATAGGAGTGTATTTATTTGTGTTTATCACTCTGCATTAAGGGTGTAAGCCTATAAAATGCAAAACATTTTCAGCCAATTTACCAGTCTATTTAAGTGTAGTTAAGCATGTGCTTTAGTATTAAGGGTATGCTATTGCAGATCAATTTATCCTATGTGCTTGATTTTTGTCTTGGCAAATGTTAGCTGTTGGGTTTTCCTGTAAGCTCTAAACATGTTATATTTCATTTACTCTGGCTTTGTCTCCCTTTCCTCTTCTTTGTGTTCAAGTGTTTGATGCCAGGTTGGAAGAGCTTTGAGCAACCTGGTCTAATGCAAGGTGTCCCTGCCTCTGTGGCAGGGGATTGGAGCTAGATAACCTTGAAGGTCATTTCCAACCCAAACCAGTCTATGGTTCTGTCATTTTCTTACTCTATTTACAGTTTTCATGACTGTAACTCTATGGTAAATTTGCTTATTAAAGAGCAACACATCAATTTTATCTGATATGGTGCTAGCTGTATATGCATGTTTGTTATCTCTTTGAACTGCTCTCCCTGCTGCATTACAAATGGTTATTGGAATAGGAACACTATTGTTTAATTGTCAGCTCTTCTCCTTTAACCAAGTGACCAACCCTCACTTCCAATTGAGAATGCCATAAGCATGCACATACTGGCTAGTGTGGGAAATGCACCCTTAGTAAAGCCTACAGAAACTTTGCAAGGGGTGTGGAAAGGATGCTAATAGTGAAAGCCCCTGCGGAGCAGTTTGGGATGAGTCAGATGGTATCCGCTAAGGCTGTGCCCTCCAGAACAGCAACCTCAATGCCCTTGGAGGAAAGGTGCAGCCTAGTTCCTCATCCAGGCTGTGGCACCTGCACAGTGAAACAGGCATGGAGGATATGGGCCAACACTCACCTCACCCACTTCAAAGCCCTGCAGAAAGGGTGTTTGATCCCCTAAAGGAATCTTACTAAAAAAAAAACAAACAAAAAACACCCCCCAAAAGTAAAGACCTTTCATATATATATATATATATATATATATATATAGTTGTAATAGTTATAGATATAATGAATTCTGTGTGTGTGTGGCTACAATCCATCCGTAAGGGAGCACAGTGTTCTGTGGATGTTACATTTCTTGTGGATCATAATCCTTAATACAAGGCAGGGATATAGGTAGCAGGGCTGTGGCTCTATTGAATAACTTACTAGAAAGAGGTGAATGTGCGTATGGGCTAAGAATTGGAGTTTAGATGTCTAAAAGGTATATGTAAGGGAAGGGGTTACAGACTAGGATCATCCTGTATCTCTCATTTATTGTTATGCTGCACAACTCTCAACATGTGACTAGAAAAGAAAACTCTCTGAACACTAGCTTATATATCAGAGCCCAGTTAAAGGCCAAAAAAATTACATTCTCACAGACAATAAACTGTAACTGATAAAATTTCAGAGGAGCCAATCACTTTAACAAAATCAAGTAGAAAACCCTCAGAAAACAAATCTCTGCTACTGCATTGAATCTAATGAGTGTGAGGGATGAACATGCAGTAAAGCTGGCCGGAACACTTAGTGGGCTCTAATCAACTAGAAATTTGGAAGTGATTCAGGCGCCAGGGAGGCATGTAAAGAGGAATTTCAACATCTAGCTTCACATAATAGCATGCAAGACCCAACTGTAACCAACATACCTTTCTTTATGATGAAAAAATCAAATTGCTGTATGAGATTTTTTTTACGTATAGATAATATGAAACCAAAAGATAATTCAAAAACCACTCTCATGCAACAAAAAACAATAGTCCTAACTTGGTCGGAGTTACTGGGTGGCTTCCGCCAACTGCATTGTCCCAGAAGTCGTTGAGACCCTATGTTTTCACATCAAGACAATTACAGTACAGAAGTCTGTTGGGTTTTATTCCGTAGCTTATGGCTTGAGTTGCATCTAACTGGGGTATGGAGAGTTTGCACAACAACTCCACCATCTTAGATTATGTCATTATTTTCAGGCTGATGGGTCAATACAGAAATTTGTCACTAACCAGTTTTACTGGTGTACAGAAGGATGAGGAAGATTATCGAGTTACATCTGAGCCTATAAGATTTGCCTCAAATATTTGATCGCTGTTTTCAGTAAAAGTAAAAATCATGTGAAAAGATCGTAGGAGCAGTGAAGCATATATTTGTGAGTCCCAAGTTTGTAAGGTGCACATAGTTTACTTAAAAATTGCTGAAGTTTAGGTTTTACTAGTGGTTTTAGAAACAAAACTTAAATAGATTTGTTAATCACCCTGGTGATTTTATAGATCCTAATGAATTGTCATAGAGAAATTGGAAACCCTACCTGAACTGAGATCTTCCCAATGAACTTTCAGAACAGATCAGGGTTTTTTGAGACTCTTTTCTTCCCATTGTTGTGTGAGTGCATCCCTTTTCTTTACACGTTAACTGCACGTGTATATAAAAAGCTACGGTGATTCTAGTTTAATGTAAGAACCTTTTCCTTCTAGGGAAGCAAGTACTGGTTTGACCTGGGCAATTAGGAACTGAGTGGTACATTGGAGAGATGTAGAATCTCAGTCTGGTCAAAATGGAAGGGCACAAACCAGTTCTGTGTCTAAGTGGCTGTTTGCTCCTGGAAAAAGCCTTAGTTGACTTTACCCCAGTGTAAACAGACTACAGGCCCTTAAGGCTGTGGACATAAGTCAGTGTTTGTATGATCAGAATTTGCTGTTTAGACACTCAGCAAAATTCACCTGATTCAGTTAACATCAGATTTGTATTAAGTATTTGATAAAATGCAAGGCCTTTTTCATCACAAAGGCTGCAATAATTGCTGTAAAATGATAACTGTAAGATAAAACTTGTAATAGAAATTTGTATTTTACTGACAGTTCCAGTTTATATCAACTAGCATTTGCATATTAATATATATTGTGATATATACATATATATAAAAATATCAATTATCATAGTGAGAATGGCAGTATCAAAATCTGCTTTTATAAGAGAGCACTCTCATTTCTATCCATGTCACAAACTGCCTTCCAGCCAGCAGCTACCTGGACTATGCCTTTTCCCCTGATTTGTGGCTTCCACGGTTCTCAAACTCTGCCTCTGCTGTACTTTGTTTCAGAATAATGTTGGTGTAAGCAGCTCTCATAGTCTCAGGTTTTAAAGAAGGACAAGTTT